GCTTTTACAGGAGGAGGAGGAGCAGGTGAGGATGAAGAGCCCAGGAAAATACAGACAAAGTATCTGTGGGGTGGAGACTCTAATAGGAAATGTAAGGGAATGCAGAAGCAGCCCCCATGATTCAGTGTTTTCAAGGATTCGGTGTTTTCAAGGATTCAGTGTTTTTGAGGATTCAGCATTTTCCAGGACTCAGGATTCCTGGGTCAATCATTCCTGCCCCCACTAGAAGGCTGTTGCAGGCCTCCTGAGGACTTGGAGGCTTTGCAGGTAGGCAAGCAACTGAAACTTTTCCCTGCTTTGCTGCTGTTACGGCCTGCAAGGGAAGGACCCCAGGGCTGGGCACCTCACTGAGCTGTGTAAGTGTGGGCCACTTGCTGGGTCCTTTGGCTGCTGCAGCTGCTGTCCCCAGTGTTGCTAATCTGGTGCTGAGCTGGCACACCTCATCAGCTCTAGTGAGCATCTCCTGCTGCATCTTCTGCTGTGGTTGTGAGTTTGATCCCAATCTATTGTCTGGCTACCATGTGCTCCAGGCTCTCAGTGGTGGGAAGATGCCATCTTGTCTCTTCTGTTCGGACTGGGGGTTCCACTTCTCAGTGATAGGAAGATTTCATTTTGGGAATGTGACCTTTTGTTTGGCATAGGCATTCCGCACCTTCAGTAGCAGGAAGATGCCATCATATATGACTTTTGTTTAGGATTTCAAAACACTGGATATGCTTTGGGTGAAATAACTGGCCATTTGTGCCCTCAGTGACTCTTTGTTTTCCCTTTGTTAAATAAATCCCATTATTGTTGTTTTCTGAACTTGAGTGGTCTTGCAACTGTGCTCGTGGGTGAAGAACTCAGTGACCAGTAAGCTGTTTCGGCACTCTCCTTGGCCAGCTTTAGCTTCCCATATTGCCCAGTATCAATATCTCATCTGAAATTGTTTTCAGGTTAATTAATCTTAACATCCTTGCCATTTGGGAGAGAATGTTGTTCTGGATTTTTCTCTTACCTATGGTAAATTTCATGGTCTTCATTTTTCAGTTTATGGTGTTTGTTTTAAAAACCACTCTGAAATTACAAAAACACCCACAACACTCAGAAAATGCATTAGAAGCAAATCAAGTTTTCTTGGCATTGAAATATTGTATTCGTTGTAAATTATCTAAATATTTGAATACTAAAAATGGTCCAGACCCCTCAGGAGCTACTTCCCTTTGTTCTCCACCATCTTCCACTGACACTGACTCACTGAATCTTCTGTGTCTGCTCATGAGACAAAAGGAACCCAAGTGGGCATCTGGTACAGGCCACAAGAGAGGTTTCTGTGCAAGGCTGAACCACTGTGGGAGGATCATGGCTCCTTTGCATGCAGAGATATATAGACTTCAACATCCTCAGCCTCCACCCAAGTCAAAACTGGGTATTGTCATCTAGTTCTCCCAGAGAATAGCTTGTGTAGAATGTTTTCCCAACCATATGATGGAGAAGATAGTTTAAGTAATAAAGATGTAGGAAATTGAGAAGATGGGAAAATGCCAATTTAGCAAAATTACCCAATATTATGCTATGAAAAACATATACAAACTGGTAAATTCCATTATGTTTTAAACTTCATTTGCAAAATAGCTATCAGTTGTCTGGTTAGGAGGCTGACTACATGTCACTGACCAATGCAGGCCAGGCAGGGAGCAGCTGTCCCTTTCACCACAGGGGCTGTTCCCATTCCCAGGCTACCCAGGCTCCCTGCTCCCTGGCCTCTTCCAGGCCAAGATGTGCAGGTGACAGGACTTGACAGCTAATGTCTCTGGTGGGGCTGAGGCGCTCATGGTTCAGGAGCTACTTTCCTTTATTCTCCACCATCTTCCACTGACACTGACTCACTGAATCTAGTGTGTCTTCTCATGAGACAAAAGGAACCCAAGTGGGCATCTGGTACAGGCCATGAGGGAAGTTTTTGTTCAAGGCTGAACTGCTTTGGGAGGGAGTATGATGGGTACTTTGCATGCGGAAATAGACTTCAACATCCTCAACCTCCGCCCTGCTGATCTTCAGGGTGAAATCTGCCCCTGACCACCTGCCACTGAACCTGTCTGGGACCCCAGAGGGCCTGTTGGAAACCTTATAGATGAGGAGCCTTGGCGAGTGGCCTGTCTTCTGCAGGTACCAATGCAAATAGGTGTTTCCATCACCACTTAGGAGGCCCTGACTTGCCCTGCAGGAGATGGAGGCCGACTCCCCAGGGACGAAGGCCTGGGTTCGGGGTGTCTGAGTCAGCACAACCTCCCCACTGGATCCTGAAGAATTGAGAGAGAAGTGCCAAGTCATTTTCATCAGTTATTTTCATTATTTGAAGTCTGTTATTAAGTTAAAATATCACTTTGTTTTATGTTATTTTTTTGAGATTTATGTTTATTTTATTTTTTTTAAAGATTTATTTACGCATACAAGAACTGGGGTAGAGGTCAGAGGTGTGGAGCGGGAGCGGAGAGGATTCACCAGAGACAGAGTGGGGAACTGAACAGGCAGACTGACTGAAATACATTGCTGAGGGGAGCAGAGGGTGAGTCAGGAGAGGTCTGCTGCACCATGTGGGTAGCTCCCTGGCTGGGGATCCAACTTGTCCTACAGAGGCTGCGGACAGCTTCATAGGTTGTGTCTTAACCCCTGCACCACCTGAGATTTATGTTTATTTACCAAAATATATAATCACAATACATAACCTTTGGAAATAGACCTCTAAACTTTGCCTTTTGTCTCTACATTTCCCTGTTATGGCTTTCCAGAGTATAGGTGCGTATTCCTCTGAATTCTTCTACATATTCACAGAGCTAAGCATAACATTCTCTGAAGGACAAGACATACACATCTAACACGGAGAGAGAATACACATGGAGGGCAGAGGGCCCCAGAGCTCAGCCTCCCCATCCTCTGCTCCATTGTCACCTTCACTCTGCCTTACCTGGGGTCCAGAGCATCAGCAGCCCCAGCTGCTGAGCAGGGAACCTCATTTTGAGAGGGTGACCTGATGTGCCCAGTTAGGTTCTAACTGTAAGCTGACTTTTATCTCAGGCTTGCAAGGAAATGTCCTCTCTAGGGACCCACATGCAAAACCCCAGGTGGGGCCTTAGGGTGGAGAGAACCCAGGGGAGCCTGGAGGGTTTCATATAACCAAAGGGAGTAGCTGGTCTTCAGTTTGATAAAAATGAAAAGAAACATTGGTATTGCCAGATAGGAGAAAGATCCGATTCTGAAATTTTTGAATTGCTTTATGGAAGACAGTGTGTGTGTCCCTATGTCTCTTACAAATAATATATGACTTCTATGAGTCTCTCTTCCTCTCTCTCTCTGTCTATGGACATTACATGAGAACCTAGGTCTCCCCTGCCTGCATGTGGGCGGTGATGGCTGTGAGTCTACAAACCCTTGGACTGTGCATCAGCAGGTGTGAGTCCTTTTCATCAGTTATGGCATTTACACCACTGTGGTGGGGGTGTTAAGAACAGAAAAGATGGGAGACTATTTGTGGGAGTGATAATACCTAGCAACTACATATCACTACATTTCACTAAGTTTTGCTGTAAATATAAACCTACTCTTTAAAAAAAATGTTTATTTGGCCTACAGGAACAACCAATTATTATCACAGACACGCAAATCAAGACCACAATGTAGTACCAACTCACAACTATGAGAATGATCCATATCAAAAAACTAGAATCAACAAGAGCTGGTGAGGATGTGGAGAAAAGGGAACCTCCCTACACTGCTGGTGGGAATGCAAACTGGCCAAGCCCTTATGGAAAGCTGCATGGAGGTGTCTCAAAATATTAAACACACATCTGCCATTCAACCCAGCAATTCTACTCTTTGGCATTAATTAAAAAAAATTAATTTTAAAGAAAATCGCACTCCCATGTTTATTGCAGCACTATTTATTACAGCCAATCTACAGACACAATCTAAATGCCCCTGAACAGATGAGTGAAGCAAGAAGATCTGGTCTATATACACAGTGGAGTACTACTCAGTGATCAAAAAAGATAAACTCATGCCATTTGCAGAAACATGGATGGAGCTTGAAAGGATAACACTAAGCAAATAAGTCAGAAGGAGAAACATAAGTACCAGTTGGAGTCGCTAATGTGTGAACATAATGAGTTACATTAATAGTCATATAAAGACAAGCTGAAAAACTAACCCCTTGATAACTCACAACAGAACCAAGAAAGGGGATGAGGGGAGGTAAGAGCAGAAAGGGAGGGAGGAGGCACAATGGTGGAGCACGGGTGAGTTGGTTGTAGTTACACTATGTTGGTCATAACTGATAGTGATACCCCAAAGTTACCTCAGCTAAAACCCTATACACACACGTGCACACACACACACACGCAGAGTGAGAGAGAAATGTTGTTTTTTTCTTTTTTACATCATTTTTCATTTTTATAGGGTTTTAGCTGAGGTAACTTTGGCATGTTTATCTTTTTTTTTTTAAAAGATTTATTTATTTATTTACACAAGAACCAGGGTACAGGCCAGATTCATGGGAGGGTGAGAGGATTCACCAGAGGCTGAGTGGGGAACAGAACAGGCAGACTGACGAAATACACTGCTGAGGGGAGCAGCGGGTGCGACAGGAGAGATCTGCCAGGCGCAGCAGGAGCGGTCTGAGGCGCCATGTGGGACCCTCGCTGGCCAGCGGGGATCGAACCAGCACAGCAGAGGCTGTGGACAGCTTCACAGCACTGCGCTCAACAGCCTGCGCCACCAGGGGAGGCCCATGTTTATCTTTTTTGATTGTTGAGTAATATCCCATTGGGTATATGTACCACATCTTCTTGATCCAGGGCATTGGGGTTGTTTCCATAGCTTAGCTAATGTAAATAGTGCTGCAGTAAACATAGGGGTGCAGCTGTCCTTATGATTTAATGTTTTTGTGTCCTTTGTGTAAATACCTAGGAGTGGAATTGCTGGATCCTATGGAAGCTCCATCTTTAGCAGATTGAGGAATCTCCACAAAGCTCTTCATAGTGGTTGGACCAGTTTGCACTCCCACCAGCAGTGCAGGAGAGTTCCTTTTTCTCCACATCCTCACCAACATTTGTCTTTGCTAGTTTTTTTAATATGTGCCATTCTCACTGGTGTAAGATGGTATCTCATTGAGAATTGTTTATTAAAGTAAGTTCTTTTTTTTAAGATTGATTTATTTATTTTATACAAGAACTGGGGTACAGGTCAGAAGTGTGGGAGGGTGAGAATTCACCAGAGCCAGAGCGGGATGCAGAACTGGCAGATGGAACAAAGACACTGCTGAGGGGAGCAGTGAGTGAAGCAGGAGAGATCTGCTGCACCATGTGGGGTTCTCCCTGGCTGGCAGGGAATTGAACTGGCACTGCAGAGGCTGCGGACAGCTTCGCAGCATGACGCTCAAACACTGCCCCACCGGGGAGGCCCTAAAGTAAGTTCTTATCCAAATGATCTCAAGTGGCTCCTCTCCCACTGATGAACCTGACCGACATCATAACCAGACAGCTCAGGTGTAATAACTTCTGTCACAATTGAGTCAGCAGAGGCGTTATCATGTCTGTGTTGTTGGGAAGGGGGAGGAGGAAAAAGAAGCAGGTGTGAGGCAGTGTCCCTGCCCCTTCTACCAGAACCTTCCACTCAAGTGTGACGACATGTGAGATATACTCTCAGCAGAGGGAGCAGCTGGGTTTCCCAACCTCACACTTTCACTCCCTCAGGTGGTTTTTGTTCGGGCTTGTATCACTGTGGAAGGAGGAGCACTGTAATGATGCTGACAGTAGTAAGTGGCAGCATCTTCAGGCTCCAGGCTGCTGATGGTGAGAGTGAAATCTGTCCCAGATCCACTGCCACTGAAGCGGGATGGGACCCCGGGTTGCAAATTGGATGCACCATAGATCAGGAGTTGAGGAACTTTCCCTAGTTTCTGCTGGTACCATTGTAAATAGTTGCTAACACTCTGACTGGCCCGGCAGGAGATGGTGACTCTGTCTCCTGGAGATGCAGACACGGAGGATGGAGACTGGGTCATCTGGACATCACACCTGGCCCCTGAGATGGAAAGAGAAAACACACACCCACATTGTCATCCTGTCATCAGAGGACTTCCCTGAGGGCCAGGGGTCCTGCCCACCTGGAGCTGATCAACTCCTGGTGTTTCCTTCCTCACCTGGGAGCCAGAGCAGCAGGAGGCTGAGGAGCTGAGCAGGGGCCCTCATGTCCATGCTGGGTCCTGCCTGGACTGACCCTCAGGGGCTGGGGCAGACTATGAATAGTGTGGAGGGAGGGGCTGTGCTCTGGAAACATGCAAATGAGCAGGGGTGGGGCAGTGGGCACAGCTGCAGGGGCTGATCTCAGTGACAGCACAGTGGCAGGGACTCCCTGGTGACCAGGTCCCCCCAGGGCAGGGCAAATTTGCCTGCTGAGAAGGTATTTCTCACTGCAGATCTCAGGACATAGTCATTTATTGTCTTGTTAGTGTAGAGATCTTTTGGACACCCCTTATTTGTAACACGCTTTACTTGATTCTCCATCTACTACAGTATATGACACTCAAAGAAATGTGTTCATGTGGGTATGTTACTAAGGTTAGTGAGGTTTCCTCTTCACTCTGGTTCACGGTTAAAGATGATTTGAAAAACTATCATCACTGCCAACCTGATGCAGTGAAGCAGGAGGACAATGCAGAGTGTGGCTGTCAGGGGTTGCATGATCCCAGACACTGAGCATCCTCCCTGCTGACCTCATCTCAGCTGAGCCTTGTGTCCCCTCACATCTGAGGCCCTGTTCCAACATGTCCACCGTGGCCTCAAGGACAGGGTGTTCTCCCCCCACATCTGACAGTCTCCTCCCTCCCCAGTGCTGTGTCATTATATAGACCTGAGTCCACTTCCCAGTCTCCTTGGACTGTAGCTCACGTCCTTCATCCTCTTCCCACGATGCTCCCTTCCAAACTAAGGTCCTCCCAGACCAACTCCTCAGTGATGCCCTTCAATTCAAGGGGTCCCTGCATCTGCATATTCATCAGACACCAAATGTCTTCCAGGTCCTAGCAGACAGCAGTCCCCAGTGCAGGGGCCAGGGTATTGGGGCAGGAAACCACACACTGGAAGGTGAAGGGGACACCCCTCAGGGTTTGGAGCTCATACAGTGTAGGATGATCATCTACACGGACTTGAAGGGCTGGACCCAGACTCTCCCCATAAAGGAAGTGACCCTGGTGGCTGGTGCAGAGCATTGAGCTACAGTACATGACAAGGAAGCATTCTCATGTCTATGAAACCATCCAAACTACCCCCAAAAGAATCCATTTCTTTTGCCATTGAAGAGCCTGACCTGGATGTGGAACCTGGATGAGGATAAGCCAACAATCCTGACTCGGCTCAGGACCACAGAGCTCGATCTCTCCAAAGTCACGGGAGGACAAGATGCGCCACCTGTAGCTGCTGTGAGTTGCAGACAGAACAGCAGGGAGGGATGTGGGTGGAGACAGAGGCAGCCCTGCACTGTGTGACAACCCAAGGAGCCCCAGTCCCTGGGGTGCCTGCAAAGACAAAAACCGTGTCCTCAGCACAGAGGGACGCCAGTCTGTGTCCTGTGTCCTGTGTCATCTGTGTGGCCAGCTGTTGTGACACAAAATATTCGTCCACTCCTTGAGTGTCTTTGTTTCCAAGTGTGTGGAAACATCCATTCAAAGCCGCACTCCTAGGCAGAGATGAGCTCTTCTATGTGAAAATAGCAAGTGTGAACAGAAAGAGTAAATAAGATCTGTGTACTTAAACAGTGAAAATCCCAAGTGGTTGGTTTAAGAAAACACTCGCTCCATCTCCCTGTGTGTCACTAGCACCCATCTTCCTCCCATGTGTTCCTGTGGCACCATCGTGCCAGCCTGTGTTGAGGGAGGCCCCAGCATGGAACCAGCAGTCCTGGTGCTGTGTGTCCTGCTGGTCCCGGTGTTCAGTCTCCCATTGCGGCAGGACTGTGAGTCCCGCCATGTGGACAGGCTTAAGCAGTGGCCTCCTTACAGGCCCTGCAGGTCAGGGTGATAGGAGAAAGGTGGGGAAGAACAGGGAGGGGCAGGTCCGTGACCCCCAGGGCATTGCAAGACCTTGGATTCTCACTCTCAGTGAAGTGAAATGTGGGAGGAGTTGAGCAGAGAAGCATGAGGCACATTTACAAAGATCCTCTGGGGCTGACTGGAGACTAGACTGGGTCTGGCCAGGGGAGAGGCTGGTGGCCTTGAGGAGGGTGGGGCTGTGGTCCAGATGAGGGATGAGGGATGAGAGAAGTTTGTGCTGGACAGCTGGGAAGGTGGAGAGAGGCTCAGATATATTTGTGGTGTGGGGTTATTTATTGGAACCTGGCCCACTGTATTATAAGGAGCACATGTAGTTACTCCGGAGTTTTTGGTTTTGTTGAGAATTTGCCCTTACTAGGAGGGAGACGTCTCATTTCAATTGAGTAACCAGAAGCCCTTGGAATAAACCACACCAAGTGTGAGCGCCTTGTAAACTGAGGACTTTGGTGATGGTGAAATATCAGTGTGGGTTCATCCTTCTCCCCTGGGGGAGGTGTTGAAGGGTGATAATGAGGCTGAGGTGTATGGAGGGGGTTCTGCGTATTTATGAGGAACCTCTGCGCTTGAACATTTAGCTAACTTTTCACTTTAAATAATAATGCCTATTACTGCACAGCAAAAGAGACAATAACAAAAACAAAGAGAAACCCCACCAACTGGGAGAACATTTTTGCACCCAACACTAATGATAAAGGACTGATCACAAAAATCTGCAAAGAGCTGATGAGACTCAGCAACAACCAAGAAAATAATCCAGTCAAAAAATGGGCAGAAGAGCTAAAAAGAAACTTCTCTGAAGAGGAAATGCAAATGGCCAACAGACATATGAAAAAATGTTCAACATCACTTGTAATCAGGGAAATGCAAATCAAAACTACCATGAGATACCATCTCACACCAGTGAGAATGGCACATATTAAAAAAACTAGCAACAACAAATGTTGGCGAGGGTGTGGAGAAAAAGGAACTCTCCTGCACTGTTGGTGGGAGTGCAAACTGGTCCAACCACTATGGAGAGCTGTGTGGAGATTTCTGGACCTACTAAACATAGAGCTTCCATATGATCCAGCAATTCCACTCCTAGGTATTTACCCAAAGGACACAGAAACATCAATTCCAAAGAGCACCTGCACCCTATGTTTATAGCAGCACTGTTTACAATAGCTAAGCTTTGGAAACAGCCCAAATGCCCAAAAATAGATGACTGGATCAAGAAGATGTGGTACATATACACCATGGAATATTACTCAGCATTCAAAAAAGATAAACACATGCAATTTGCAGCAACATGGATGGCGTTGGAAGGGATCATGCTCAGCGAAATAAGCCAGAAAGAAAAAGAAAAATACCGGATGGTCTCACTAATAGGAGGAATCTAGAAAACTTAAATAAGGGACCAGGAAAACGAATATAAGACAGTGAAAATCAAAATCAACAAAAAACTATGAACCAGAGACACTTTTTGGGGTGTGGGAGGCGGGAGGGGAGGGATTGGGGTCAGAATGGGGCATTTGCAATTGTATGGGGGAATATAAAAATAAAATTTATTATTTAAAAAAATAAAATAAAATAATGCCTATTCAAGACAACTCTGGCTTGCCCTACCTAGTGTGGCTTTCCCCTGCTGTATGAACCCTGACTAAAGTCATAACCCAGGATGCTCAGGTGTAATCACCTCTGTCACTATTAAGTCACCAAAGTCACTGTCCTGTCTGTGTTACTGGGCTGAGGAAGGGAAAGAGAGTTAGAGGGCCAAGGAGCCTCCCTGACCCTTCTAGCAGAACCTTCCAGTCCTTCAAAGCTTGGCTGCCTCTGAGGGCGATTTTCAGCAAATGAGGGAACTGGGAGGAGCAGCTGCCACCACCCAGACTCTCTGGTCTGTTCCCTGGGTAGTTTTTGTTCAGGCCTGTGTCACCGTGGGAGGGTAGCTGTTACCCTGCTGACAGAAGTAAGTGGCAGCATCTTCAGGCTCCAGGCTGCTGATGGTGAGAGTGAAATCTGTCCCAGATCCACTGCCACTGAAGCGGGATGGGACCCCGGGCCGCAAAGTGGTTGCGTGATTGATCAGGAGTTTAGGAGCCTTCCCTGGTTTCTGCTGATACCAGTGTAAATAATTGCTAATACTCTCACTGGCCCGGCAGGAGATGGTGACAGTGTCTCCCAGAGATGCAGGCACTGATGGTGGAGACTGGGTCATCTGGATGTCACACCTGGCCCCTGAGATGGAAACAGAAAATATACCCACACTGTCATCCTGTCATCAGAGGACTTCCCTGAGGGCCAGGGGTCCTGCCCACCTGGGGCTGAACAACTCCTGGTGTTTCCTTCCTCACCTGGGAGCCAGAGCAGCAGGAGGCTGAGGAGCTGAGCAGGGGCCCTCATGTCCATGCTGGGTCCTGCCTGGACTGACCCTCAGGGGCTGGGGCAGACTATGAATAGTGTGGAGGGAGGGGCTGTGCTCTGGGAACATGCAAATGAGCAGGGCAGGACAGTGGGCATAGCTGCAGGGGCTGGCTCCTATGGTTCTCAGCTAGATGGTAGCCTTCAAGGTTAATAGATAAAAAACTAAACCTTACACTAAAACTTATTATTTCAGCTAGACAATTACCTAAGACAGGGGATAGCCGTCAGTACATCCCTATCAGCTAAAGTCTAAGCATCAAAAGACTCTTCTATTCACATGGCCTTCAGCCGGAGACCAGCTGCTTCTCAGCTATCAAAACTGTTTCTACCTAGAAACTTCTTAACACAGTTAACTTCATTTAAAAACTTTCCTAAGAAACTTCTAAATAAAAAGGAACTTCTAAAAAAGCAAAAGAAGGACTTGCTATAATAGTTGTGCTGGATTGCTTGTCAGGCATGTACAATAATTGTCTCCCATTGTCAAGTGGGCCAAATTGTTTAATAACCAATTTTGTAAACAGATAATTTTCCATGCCGTTTATTTACAGTATACTGATGCATATAATTTATTGCCTAATGTACTTTTTGGGAAATTTTTCTTTTTTTATGACCAAGAACAAAAAACGAAGGGATGTTAAATCTTCAGCCCCACGGTGTGAGGCCTTTTAGCTTCGGCCCCACCGTGTGAGGCCCTTTGACTTAGCTGCTTGCCAGTGTCTTATCTGGCTGGGACAACAAGGCCCCCTGCAGCAGGAAACAGAGAGTGGTTTAATTTATGGACAAATTGGGAGGGCAGCAGACTCGTGTCTGGTAGATCTCCGTCCTCCCCTTTGTCAGAGTGCAGGATATTTTTGCAAAGGGGAGATGAGAAGGGGTCAGCACCAGTGGGCGCCAGCCTGTTTTTCTTCAATAGCTGATGTTTTACTTTCTCTCCCTAAAATGCAGGGGTGCTCATCTGGGAGACTGGGCCATAAAGATAAATCTATCAAATAAGGGGGAAGGTGCAACAAATGGGGAAAGACAAACCTGTTAGATAAGGAATGTGAAGATCCCCTGCTCAGTAGCAGATTAAGTGAGACAGCCGAGAACTAACCAATCACAAAGAGACTGGTGGAGCTTTAGAATAATGAGGGAAAGAAGGTCTGTATTCCCTGAGACAGGACTCCACTTTGGCTTCCTTGCCCCTCCCAGGCCTGGTTTCCTGGCCTGGTAGTCCCACTTTATTTCTGTTCTTTTTCTCCTTAATAAACTTTTTCTTTCTCTAAACAAACCTGCCTCTTCTCGCTTGCTCGCCTGAGAGTCTGCGAAGTTCCTGCTGCGGCTTCGTGAGACACCAACCCATGGGGGTCTAGTGGTTGGGGCTCAGCGTTGCCCCTGCAGCCTGCGATCTGTTCCTGGCTGGGAGACTAGGCCTGACAATTCCGGTATCACTCCCAGACCAACTCCTCAGTGATCCCCTTCAATCCAAGGGGTCCCTGCATCTGCATGTTCATCAAACACCAAATGTCTTCTAGGTCCTAGTAGACAGCAGACCCCAATGCAGGGGGCAGGGCATTGGGGCCCAGCCGGGTAGGAGACCACACACTGGAAGGTGAAGGGGACACCCCTCAGGGTTTGGAGCTCCTACAGTGTAGGAGTTGAAGGGCTGGACTTGAAGGGCTGGACCCAGACTGGGTAGGAGGGTGTTCCCCACAAGAAGAGGTGACCCTGGTGGCTGGTGCAGAGCATTGAACTACAGTATATGACAAGGAAGCAGTCTGGTGTCTATAAACCATCCAAACTACCCCCAAAAGAATACATTTCTTTTGCCATTTAAGAGCATGACCTGGAAGTGGAACTTGGATGGGGATAAGCCAACAATCCTGAATGGGCTCAGGACCATGGGGATCAGTCTCCCCAAAGTCACGTGAAGACAAGATGCCCCACCTGTAGCTGCTGTGAGTTACAGACAGGACAGCAGGGAGGGATGTGGGTGGACACAGAGCCAGTCCTGCACTGCGTGTGACAACCCAAGGAGCCCCAGTCCCTGGGGTGCCTGCAAAGACAGGAACCGTGTCCCCAGCACACGGGGAAGCCTGTCTGTGTCCCGTGTCCTGTGTCATCTGTGTGGCCAGCTGTTGTGATTGCAGAAATAAATTCTAGCCTTTTACCCAGGCAGCGGAAGAACAAGCAGTACTTCAGGAATGGTGAGGTCAGGAAAGCTTTTTTTACTCATGCATGTGGTCTCAGGCCTTGGTAGCCCCATAAGGTCTGAGCATTGGTCTAGAGACAAAGAGTTTCTTTTATACACAAACATTTTACACTGATAAAGTTGGTTAGTTAGCATACAAATTCTTGACCAGAAAAAGGGGAAGGATAAAGTACTTCCAGGATGACCTGGGAGATCAATCAGCCTAGCAGGCTGCCAGATCTTGTTTAGATAAGCTTATTAAGGAAGCAAACTTATTATTTACTTTACATTTCCAGGTCTATGACTCTTTAACAGGGAAAGATTTCTTTTTCTTAGCAGATCCCTTTCAGTGACACAGAAAATGATCTTCCATCTCCTTGAGTGTCTTTGTTTCCAAGTGTGTGGAAACACATCCATTCAAAGCATCACTCCTAGCAGAGATGAGCTCTTCTATGTGTAAATAGCAAGTGTGAACAGAAGAATAAATAGGATCTGTGTACTTAAATGGTGAAAATGCCAAGTGGTAGGATAAAGAAAACACTCACTCCATTGCCCTGTGTGTCACTAGCGCCCACCTTCCTCCTCCGTGTCCCTGTGGCCCCATCGTGCCAGCCTGTGTTGAGGGAGGTCCGGGCGTGGAGCCAGTAGTCCTGGTGCTGTGTGTCCTGCTGGTCCCGGTGTTCAGTCTCCCATTGGGGCAGGACTGTGAGTCCTCCCATGTGGACAGGCTTAAGCAGTGGCCTCCTCACAGGCTCTGCAGGTCAGGGTGATAGGAGAAAGGTGGGGAAGAACAGGGAGGGGCAGGTCCCGTGACCCCAAGGGCATTGCAAGGCCTTGGATTCTTACTCAGGGTGAAGTGGAATGTGGGAAGAGTTGAGCAGAGAAGCATGAGGCACATTTACAAAGATCCTCTGGGGGGCCTCCCCGGTGGCGCAGCGGTTGAGCACTGGGTTGCGAAGCTGCCCGCAGCCTCTGCAGCGCCGGTTCAATCCCCGGCTGCTCCCCGGCCACCAGAGGAGGGTCCCACATGGCGCGCAGACCCCTGCCGCCCGCTGCTCCCCTCAGCAGTGTCCTTCGGTCCTTCTGCCTGCTCTGCTCCCCACTCTGGCTCTGGTGAATTCTCTCACCCTCCCGTGCTTCTGACTGTACCCAGTGCTTGTATAAATAAATAAATAAATCTTAAAAAAAAAATTAAAAAAAAAAAAAAAAAAAAAAAAAAAAAGATCCTCTGGGGCTCACTGGAGACTAGACTGGGGCTGGCCAGGGGAGCAGCTGGTGGCCTTGAGGAGGGTGGGGCCGTGGTCCAGATGAGGGATGACAGGTTTACGCTGGACAGCTGGGAAGGTGGAGAGAGGCTCAAATATATTTGAGGTGTGGGGTTATTTATTGGAGCCTGGCTCACTGTATTATAAGGAGCACATGTAGTTACTCCGGAGCTTTTGTTTTTATTGAGAATTTTCCCTCACTGAGGAGGGAGACGTCTCATTTCAATTGAGTAACCAGGAGCCCTTGGAATAAACCACACCAAGTGTGAGCGCCTTGTAAACGAGGACTTTGGTGATGGTGAAATATCAGTGTGGGTTCATCCTTCTCCCCTGGGGGAGGTGTTGAATGGTGATAATGAGGCTGAGGTGTGTGTGGAGGGGGGCTGCGTGTTTGTGAGGAATCTCTGTGCAAGATGATTTAGCTAACTTTTCACTTTAAATAATAATGCCTATTAAAAACAACTCTGGCTTGTACTACTTAATGTGACTTCTCCCCTGCTGTATGAACCCTGACTAAAGTCATAACCCAGGCTGCTCAGGTGTAATCACCTCTGTCGCTATTAAATCACCAAAGTCACTGTCCTGTCTGTGTTACTGGGCTGAGGAAGGGAAAGAGAGTTAGAGGGCCAAGGAGTCTCCCTGCCCCTTCTAGCAGAACCTTCCAGTCCTTCAAAGCTTGGCTGCCTCTGAGAGCGATTTTTAGCAAATGAGGGAACTGGAAGGACCAGCTGCCACCACCCAGCCTCTCTGGTGTGCTCCCCGGCTGGTTTATGTTCAGGTTTGTGTCACTGTGGGAGGCCAATTATAACCTTGCTGACAAAAGTAAGTGGCAGCATCTTCAGGCTCCAGGCTGCTGATGGTGAGAGTGAAATCTGTCCCAGACCCACTGCCACTGAAGCGGGATGGGACCCCGGGTTGCAAACTGGATGCACCATAGATCAGGAGCTTAGGAGCATTCCCTGGTTTCTGCTGATACCATTGTAAATTAGTACTGACACTCTGACTAGCCCGGCAGGAGATGGTGACTCTGTCTCCTGGAGATGCAGACACAGAGAGTGGAGACTGGGTCAGCTGGATGGCACACCTGGCCCCTGGGATGGAAACAGAAAACACATCCACACTGTCATCCTGTCATCAGAGGACTTCCCTGTAGGTCAGTGGTCCTGACCACCCAGAGCTGATCAACTTCTGGTGTTTCCTTCCTCACCTGGGAGCCAGAGCAGCAGGAGGCTGAGGAGCTGAGCAGGGGCCCTCATGTCCATGCTGGGTCCTGCCTGGACTGACCCTCAGGGGCTGGGGCAGACTATGAATAGTGTGGAGGGAGGGGCTGAGCTCTGGGAACATGCAAATGAGCAGGGGCAGGCCAGTGGGCACAGCTGCAGGGGCTGATCTCAGTGACAGCACAGAGGCAGGGACTCCCCAGTGACCAGGTTCCTGAGGGCAGCAAAAAATTATCTTTGGAGAACCTGTTTCCCCTGGTAACATGAAGACAGACTCAGTCTATTGCCCTTAGAGTATAGTGTTTTACTCTTCTCTTTACCACTCATGTCATAAAAATATGTAATGACATATACAATATAATGTTACTCAACCATAAAAAAAAATAGGTGAAATCTTCATCATCCACAACTTGGATGGAACTTAAGGGAAATACGCTAGACAAAATGGTAATAAGGAAAAATAAACAAATACTGGACAATTTTATTTATATGTAGATACAAAAAAGAAAAGAGCAGACAAAAAAAAAGAAAACAAACAACTAAAACCCTTAAATTTTGATAACAGAATTGAAGCTACCGGAGGGAGAGGCTGGGGTGGGGAGCAGAGCGTGTGGCAATGAACCTTGTGGGGGATTACGGAGCTCTGTGTGTGGAGGGGGACAGTGGGGGGTGTTGTGACAACTTATGTTTATGAATCTGCCCCCTCGATCATACTCAGTGTCATTAACCAGCATTACTTCAATAAAAGTAATACAATTTAAAAAAGGATTCACTGTATGTCTTACTCCCCATGTCTCAATATGATGCAGGGGTGAAGAGGATGGCACTAAGACATTGCACAGGCTTCTTTTATTTCATTATGTGGCTGTTCCTAAGGAGAGAAACTGCCCGTTCCCTTTGATTCCCTAATATTGCTGTTTTTTTCTTTTCTTTTTAAAAATTTACTTACCATTCGTTTACTTCATTATTTGTGTTTAGAAGTATAGGCTGTCACCCTCCTGGTGAAGTCACTCTACCACACCTACCACCAAAGCACCTACAATCCCTCCCCATGTTGGTGTGAGAAATTATCATCACTGCCAACCAGATGCAGCGAGGTAGGAGAACAACAAAAAGTGTGGGTGTCAGGAGTCATAAGTAAGCACCCAGACACTGAGTATCCTCCATGCTGATCTCACCTCCAAATAAGCCTTGTGTTCCCGCACCTGAGGCCCTTCCCCAACACATCCACCTCAGCCCCAAGGCCAGGGTGTGCTCCCCCACATCTGACAGTCTCCTCCCTCCCCAGCGCTGTGTCATCACACAGACCCGAGCACACGCCCAGGTCACCCTGGACTGTAGCTCACGTCCTTCATCCTCCTCCCCCAGGTGCTCCCTTCCGAGCTGAGGTCCTCCCAGACCAACACCTCATTGATCCCTAGAGTCTACTATTTCCCTGCACCTGCACGTTCCCCCATGGCCACGTCTCCTCTGGGTCCCGGGAGACGGCAGCTCTAGTCTCAGTGTAAGGAGGGTTTCCCTGCCCAGCTCCCTTCGCTTCTCATGCTGCCAGGACTCTGCCCTCAATGCCATGTCTGGCCCCATGTGCAGCCTCTGAGAACATCCTACCTTGTGTCCTGTTCTCTTCCCCACCCTCCCAACATGACCCTGCACAGGAGGAGGCAGAACCTCAGGACAGCAGAGGGCAGGATGGAGACACTCTCCAGGGCCTCACTCTGAGGCACCTCAGCCTGCGTGTGAAGCAGGATGACCTGGTTTGGGGTGGGGGAGGGACTCAGAACAGGAGGTGGGACCAGACACACTGAAGCCTCCACTCAGGGGTGCCTGGGAGATGCACCTGGGGTTAGGGAAGGATGGAGGAGGGGGACGGGAGTAAATGGAGGGGAGGGGGTGTGACTGCAGCGATGGCTCAATCCTGTTCCTCCCACAAGATCCTGGAGACCACATCTCTGAGGGCAGGAGCAGCACGTGGGAGACGCACGACCACAGTGGCGACAGGAGGAGGGTTTTGGCTGCTGTGCTGTGATGCTGAGACAGTCAGCGTCCAGACCCCCAGCCATGACCCTGCCCCGCATCATCCCACACAAGCACCAGGGAGCAGGAGCCCGGGCGCTGGCTCTTGTGTTGCTGATTTCAGGCTGGGAGGATATGAACATTCTGACTGGTCCTTCAGGCGGCAGTGACCCTCTCCTGGGACACAAGGATGAATTGGGGACTGGACCCTTACAGTCTCCCCCAGCATCTAGGAGAGGAAGCAAACAATCTGTACCAAGCAGATAGTTCATCACTTAGATTTATTTATGATCAGGATGAAAAACAGAGTAGTCTTATTTTCAAATGTCTCATTTCCAAATAAATGAACTAAGGATGAAAACTGAGTTCTCCATCCTCAGCAGAGTGAAGACAGGAGGAAGAAGAGGGACAAAACTGGGGTGCCCGTGTCCCTGAGGGGCCTCCTGAGTGTCCTCCTACTCAGAGACTGTGGGGATGGCTCTGAGGACAGGGACACAGCCAAGCAGGCCTGAGGGCTCAGCGGCCTCCATCACAGGCACAGACACCAAGGAGGTTTGCTCTCGCTCAGCACACTGGGGCTCCTCCTGATGTCTCAAGACCCCAGAGACTCTCCAAATACTAGGGGCTGCCTTAGATACATGGACAGCATCACTCTACTCTCCCAGGATTTCCAACAGCAGCCTGAGTCTTATGTTTACTGTGGGTTTGCTGCCCTCTACGGGCAGTTTTATGACACGACAGCTTAAGGATATTTGATGTGGGGCCTCAAAGAATCTTGCCTGTGTTTCCACTGCTATTTATGAAGCTGACACTGTAGCTAGACTATCAGCAGCGCAGACTCTGTGGGCGCACAAGATGATTCCTCTTCTTGATAACTAGCAACCTAGGTGAGAACAAAAGGGTAATATGTGACCAGGATTCAGAATGGATGCTGGTGACATGACCGTTACGGGCCAGGATCTGAGTTCCAAGTGAGTGAGATGCCAAAGATGTGCTTTGTACAAAAGAGGGAGGGCAGGAGGCAGGCTTCAGGGATGATGTTGAGCTGGGACAGGAAGCAGAGGATTTCTGGTCTAGATCTGTTAACCCAGCCTCATCCTTCCTTC